GCCTTTACAAATGACTTTGTGGGATCAGTGGCGGATCCAGAATTTTCACCAAGGGATGTCAAAATATAAATAATTAGATACAACGAAAAGTCAAGGGGAATCAATGTACAGTAAATCTACATAAAATAAAAAAATCTATCTAGCGATATAGTGTAATTTTCCGGCGCCCCTTGGTTCAATGTGGCTCCGCCACTGTGTGGTGATTGACGTCATTGGCGGATGTAGCATTATAGGAACGGGTTCAAATGAACCCATAACTTTCGACACGGAGCATAAATTTATGTGTAAATATTGACTAAAATTATTACAAATAATAGATATGAATCTATAACTTTAAAAATACTATAGTTTCAATGCTAAGAACCTAAAGGTTGAACCCATAAAGTTTAAATCCTGGATTCATCTTTGATTGATGTGATTTGTGGTAATTTGGATTACACTGTGAAAAGTGTACAGATATTTGCTTCTTGATTTCTTTGCTAGACAGAAACTCTGTACATCTCCTAATATATATTGATCATAAGATCCAGTAGTTCGGCCAATACTTTTGCTGGTGGGAAGGTAGCAGATACCCGATGGAATAGTCAAGGTGTACACAAGCTGGCCTAAACATCACCACCGTTATAAAAAGTTTATAATAATTAGATTTCTTCAGAAGCCATCAAAACTCTGAACCCCCAAAGTTTAGCTTGCGTGGGCAAGATAGTATAGTTTAACTTGGTTACGAGTACAGATGTCCATAAGATGGATAGGGCGCTAGGGAAAAGGTGTCAGAATTTTAAGAGGCCTGCCTTTTTAGGACCTTAATGCCGAACGTAAGAGGGTCCTAGGAACATTGATGATGACAATCGTAATTTGAATCCCCCTTTTTATTGAAATCTAGCTACGGAAATTCAAGACTGATGCATATATGTCATGAACTAGTTTTGGATCGGTTTGGTAAAACAGTAGACTGTAGTTCTCAAAGCAGGATTCTTACCGCATACCAAAATCCTTATTCTGCAAGTTTAGTGATCTCTATTGTTGTGTAGTAGCCTTGTTGCAAATTACCAACAATTACTTATACTTCAATAACTGAGAGATATGTCAATAATCTCAATCTAACAAGATACTATTGACAGTACTCAAGCTATTACAGTACAACATTACAGTATGAAAGGATAATGAAAAGTAAACTTAAAACCTGTTGCAGTAAATTAGTAGTCCATCTCCAGTATTAAGATCAGCATCGTCATCAGAATATTTTAATTTCTTCTTCCCATTGGCAGTTGCTGAACTCCAAGCTAAGGCTACTCTAGAAAAATTAGCGGTATTTTTGTTAATCCTTCACTGGCTTTACTGAAGATGCAGACTAAAACAATGACCAAAATGGGGAAAGCAGGTTTTTCATCACCTAGGTCGAGCGTTATCCCATCTTGTATTTTAATTGGCCTAGCGTATAGCTGCATACATAATTGAATTTGTCGATAAGCATGTAATTTGAATTCCAATATATCTGCCAGATATTACTATGTTCTTGATTGGTGTTGCTTTTGTACTAGGGTTTGGTTCTTCTCTATCTTTCCTTCTATTACAATTTTCATGTCTCATTGAACAGCTAGTCGTTCACAAGTGCAATGAATGTGGACAAGTTTTACCTGAAAGTTTTGAGCCTCCTGCAGATGAGCCTTGGACAAGTGGGATTTTTGGATGTGCGGAGGACAAAGATAGTTGTAAGAGTTCTTCCTTATGTTATGTAAATATAGCTTGTAATCACTTTCATATGTTCCTCACTGCACTGTCTAAACAGTTGGCAAAAGACATTGTTATGTATGGGCTGCTCGTCTCCTGATTTTTCCTTGCTCCACTTTGGTTTGATCCTTGTGTTTCTCTATCTGGTAACAGTGTGTTTGAAAAAGAGAACTTTCATTGCAGCTATTTCACCAAAAACTTGACAAAATTGTTTCATTTCCTCATTTCAATTTCTTTTTGAAAAAAATATATGTGAAAGAAGCTCACGCTACTCACACTATCATTTTGGGAGGACTTATATCACTCTGGATAAGCTAATTAAGTAGTCATTTATATACATTATCTAAAAGGGATTGAGGTCCTCTTGTCTAAATTAAGTTAATACTGCTCATTATCATTTTCATATTCTCATTAACCCATATCCTGTTGTGGCACTAAGCACTTGAAACATGAGAATAGTATCGTATAGCTTTATCAGAGAAACTGAAAGCTTTAGTCTCTCTATTTCCATTTAGACCTCTTGATCTTTGATTTGTTCCTTATAGTCTTGGTCATCATTTTGAAAGTTAGGAGGGGAAATAGATCAGTCTTTCGTTGCAGTTTGAAGAATAAGCTCTCTATACATCAAGTATATTGATAATCAACGAATAATTCGTCCTTATTTAATTTGTAAAAAACCAATGTCTAACACTATTAGGTTATTATTACTCTGGTTCTATTTCTGAGATCATTCCATCTCAGTAAAAAAAAAAGTTTTTATCATAGTCTTGACTGAGGATTACACACTTTATGCCAGTCTGCGTGCAGCTCTTGCTTCTTTTAACACACTGAATTTATCTTACCTTTATAGGCTGGACGGGATTTTTCTGCCCGTGCATCTTGTTTGGGCGTAATGTCGAGAGCCTGAGAGAAGATACTCCTTGGTCTACCCCTTGTGTTTGTCATGCCATTTTTGTTGAGGGTGGCATTGCTTGTGCAGCTGCAACAGCAGCATTTCATGGTATTGATCCAAGTACATCGTTCCTCATTGGTGAAGGCTTGTTATTTGGTTGGTGGATGTGTGGAATATATACTGGCCTTTTCCGGCAGTCACTGCAGAAGAAGTATCATCTCAAGGTAACTTCATTTCGTTTGTGTTTATATGTGAAACTTATGCGTAATTTTAATTAGGATCAAATCCTATGTCCTTGATCAATTTTACTCACTGTGTTCTTGAAAGTCCTGCAAATTTTGACAGTTAAAAAGTTGTTAGCCTAGAATTCGCTTCATCTAGAAGACAGTGATCATCTTAAACACCAGTCGCGAGAAAGCTTTGGAGTATACTGTTTATTGAATTAGCTGAATTTTGGCATGTGTTAAAGAAATGGATCTTGGGCCTAACTCAACCCGAAAAGTTAGCTCAAGAGGTGAGGATTGCCCAAAACCATATAAGGAGACCAATGGCTCCATCCCCATCCGATGTAGGAATATCAACATCCCCAACCCCCACTCGCACGCCGTTTACATCTGGAGCATGGATAATGTAAGATGGGGGAATATCAACAGCATGCTTTTACTGTACAATGCAGTCTTATCTCTATTTGTCCCAAATTAACTGCTGGAAGATGATAGTGAGACTTCAGCACCCTAAGAAGTGTGTAACCTAGCGATTAAGGAAACTGGAATGAACCATGGTAGACTAGGTTTCAAATCACGGCAGGGGCAAAAAACGCTCGGTGATTTTTCCCATTTGTCTAAACCTTGTTGGATAGAGGTACTCGGAATCTGTACTGGTGGGAGGTAGCCGTTAGCATTTAGCTGGTACCCTAGATTAATCGAGGTGCACATAAGCTAGGCAGGAACAACCAGGTATAACTTCACGTTTATTTGTTAATATTGCAACTTTCTAAATGATGCAGAATTCTCCGTGTGATCCTTGCATGGTGCATTGCTGCTTGCACTGGTGTGCCTTGTGCCAGGAGCATAGGGAAATGAAAAGCCGTCTGTCAGATAATGCTGCTATGCCAATGACAATAGTCAATCCTCCCCCTGTCCAGGAGATGAATTCTGCTATTGACAACCGTGAATCTGTACCAAGTAGCTCCGAACAAACCAACCTCGAGATGCAAGCTCTGTGAAAACTAAAAATCAATTTACTATATCAGATAGCTGCTCAAAGAGTTCGCGTGAGTGTGTCCTTGGAGCTAAGTTATACAAGAAAAGATGGTCATTGTTTTAGAGGAAAATAGCTCTTCAACTTCTTGTTATGATGAAATTGGCCTTTTTGATGCACAGGTTCGGCCAATAATGTATTGAACTGCAAATGAGTAGAGGCATTTGCACTCTAGTGCACCCTTTTGTTTGAGTGTTTCAGAACTCCATTAAATTTATTTAGAGTCAAAGGTAAAAAGACTAACCTATAATAAAAAATCTTGTATTCTGCTTTCTATAGTACATTCATTTCATGTCCTCTTCTTTTCTGTATCCTGATCTCCTTGAAACTATTCTTCATTGGCTTGCAACTTTGGTGGTGTATATGACTTCTCGTCCATGAATTTCTCACTAACCAACTTTGAGGTTTGTTGTTCTCGTGTATGTTTGAAGTTTGTACCAGATAACTATTAAAATAAGATTTGTACCGAAGTTGATATTGCAAACTATTATCTTGACTTTTAGAACCCAATAATTGGCGCAGTGTCGTACTATTTTCTTTGATAACATTACTATAAAATCAAAGTGAGCTAAATGCAACTTTTTGAAGTTGAGCATGTCATAAGCACGATTTCAATATCACAAAGGTACATTTACTTCCGTAAATGATATTACGTGCAAAGGTAAATTGACTCTAAAACTAATATGTTATGACCCAATAACAATATAGGTCGACCTAAGACTTAAAAAAAAATTGACAATGATGTTTATGTTCTTAGGAAATCGACCAACGAGAAAATTTTACTATGTCAAAAAGAACAATAGTTAAAATCTCAAACAATGATCATAATCCCATCCTCCAATGAATTCTCTTAGTTTCACTCTTTGTTAAATATACCGCTATCGCTTCGGAATGCGGTAGGTAAAGTCCTTTGCTTATATGCTTGATATTATTATAATCACACTAGTCTTCCTTCCTTTTAGTGCACATGAAACAGAAACTACAATACCCATCTTTTCAAAACATATTTTTTACGGGTAGGGCAAAACATCTCCATCCTTTTTTTTCGATGTAATATCCTAAGAATATGCGTCCAAGAATATTCGACTCTATTTTCTCTCTTCACAACTCCCTAAAATGATTTAGGTTGCATGATACTTTCATATAGCAAATGTTGAAACATGCTAAAAGACTTTATATACATAGGACAGTGTAAGCTTGGCTTTGTTCTACGGTATTTAGAAGCACCAATGGTACCTCAATAAGAAAATTGGAAACAAGACTAGACATAGAACACATTAAATTTATAAACTCACCTTCTAGTTTTATATATCACTAGAATTTCTAATGATTTAACTGTGAAATCATTTAGGACATGTTGAGCCAAAGACTAGTAAAACAAGACCTCTTTCACTAGCGAACTCTTCTTCACGCCCACCTGAAATCCCCAAAAAATAACCATCTCCCACAAAATAAAATGCAAAACGAATCAGGCACGAGGAGCCGCCATTTGCTGCTTCTTTACCCTCTCGTCCTGCTTCACCATACTGAATACAAAAGAATGTTTGATGGATCAACATTGCAACCAATTCAAAGTAAAGAGATAAATAAATGCTTGCCACATTACAGTGAATTGATGAATCCACTCCAACCAGTATAGGAAAATAGCCATTATCCCACTCTTTTTAAAATTTTCCTTTTTCAAAAAGACACAATTAGTTAGACGAAAGTTTTTATGCTGACTGATGAAAAAAAGGAAAATCTTTTAGATGGGGATTGATAATAAACCAGTATTATAAAAAGAACTAACTCTACCAGACTCCGAAGGGAGAACGGAAAAATTGAAGAGACATATACTCATTATACATGGTTCAAATAAGTCAAATTAAGCGACAGTATACCGAAGGCAAAGCAAAGACTCAGGTTGCTGGATTTATAGACAATATTTATTCATGCTTTCAGACTACCTGATGTCATGAGGGGTAATAAATATCCACTGTGATCCTTGTGCCAATGCAAAATCCACAACAGCGTCTAGACTGATTTTTCTGCTAACGGCATCCTGTACATTAATGGAAAGTTAAAGATTGCAACCAATAGACTGTTTCTCTACGATGTTTAGTGCAACGAAACATGTTCCCATGCAATCCACTAGAATAAGGATTTATAGATGCATAACCCATTAGTAAATTTCAACAAATAGAAATGCCCGTCTTGTGCACGATTAGGAATAAATGATTGTAAACCAGTCCTCCATTACAATAGTTCACCCCACCATGATTGCATCAAAAGATCCATCCATCCTCAGATACATGGGGGTGCCATTAATTGATGAGGATATGATCTACATAAGAACACCTTAAAGTATCACAATCCTTTAGCAGCATCTGCATTACTCCATTTGAGCCATATTCATTATTATCAGAATAATATAAATATTCATAATCATCCATCCATTGTGATCCCTGACGATATATGGAAGTTATAGTGGACAAACTGTGAATAGTTAAAAGACAGCCAAGTGCTTTCTTTCATTTATCTGACAGAGAAAAAGACTTCTTATTAACCTTTTGTTAAATGAAGAGTCAGCAATTTCATGGTTTAGACGTCAATAAAAGTAACAAACATCCAGAACACCAACTTGTGTCCTAACTGTGACTTAGCTTTCAAGAGATATATGGTTATTAATATTTTGCCGTTTCTACCATCTGAACATTACAGGCAACAAGTAGTCGGAGATATTCTCTAGCTGACAGTAAATTCCTTCAGCTTTCAACATAGCTTTATGAGTTCCTTCTTCTGACAAAGCTCTTTATCCCTTAGGCTTCATTCATTGCCCTCCATCAAAATTGTAATTAATGTATCAATAAACAACATACACCAGATGTGTATGTACTTGTCATGCCCAACTCTATGTTTCCTTTGAGCCTGGAGCGAGGTAGGAAAATAGGTTTATTACACTGATGATGGCTTTTGTATTGAACATAGAGACTACCAACGAAGGACAGACCCGCTCTGGCATCGTGCTTGTATACTGCAATTGCCCTTGAAGGCCAGTTGCATTCTCTAAGTCATTTGGGTCTCTATTTGGAGGCTTTGGACGAAGACTAATAAAAGGTGAAGTAAATGACAACGCAAAAGATGATGGCGCGAAATTTGACGATTAGAAGCATATTTCAGATTCCTGTTAATTTCAAGTTGAAAGCACTAATGTGTAGAAACTGCACAAGTTGATGTCCATTAAAACATCTGTTAGTTTCAATGAGCGATGGGCTAAAATTGCACATTTTTCTTAATTAAACATCAAAATGTGCTCAAGTGAATAATAGTATAATACAGGGGCTAAACCGGAATAAAGTAATAACTAAGAACCAAAACTGCAACTTCTCCAAATTAAGGGGGGGGG